TCATAATATACTATCAAAGAAAAATATTAGAGATCCCAAAAGTTTTATCAAATATCTCACATGGGTGTGACACCCACACTATGTAGGTTTCATGTGGGTCTCACACCTATGTAAGACATTTGATAAAAATTTTAGTAGAATTTTTAGAGTCTCTAACATTACTCTACTGTCAAATCATAGTCACTCATTTGTCTTGATTTTTCCTAGCAAAATATTTAATGAGAAATCATCATCTTCCACCAGTAGGAATGTGAATAAAACATAGCATATAATCTTTATGTTATGTTTGAATTTCAAATTTATCAAAATGAAAAGAATTAAAAAATAATAATTTAATTTCTGTCCCTTTATTTTCTTTATAATTCTCTAACTCAAACATAGATTTAAAATTGAATGAAAAAACACTTTTAATTTAATTGAAAATGCATGGGCATTCAATTTGTCTTGAATTAATTACAACATCTAGTTCTCAAACGCATGGTTCAAACAATCATGGCATAGTGTGTTTCAGTCATACAGTACAACGTATTAATAGAAGTTGTTACTTCATCTTTTGTTCGTTAATTTTTCCTTATATATTTCTTTTTCCATTTTTCAAATTGTTGTTTTCCCCTTGTGATATTGAAGATACATATCAAGTTTCTACTAAAGCATTTTATTTTATTCATTTATTTACTTGTTGGAGAGGTAGAGGGCCTTTTTATGAGGCTTTCACATCTGTTTGTATTGGGAAATTCAATAAAATTGCTATTATTTTGTAGTTGATAGTAAAATATTTCACTTAATATGGGCATATTACATGTCATGAAAAATAAAAACTCTTTTTACAAAATAACTGAAAAACTTAAAATCATAATAATGCTACATTTATTAAATTTTAATATCATATATACAAAAAATGAAAGTTTTAGAGACCAAAATTTAGGAATAAAATTATTTTTTAGGGACTAAATATTTTTGTTGCTAAAAGTGTCATTATTATATTTTTAACAACGAAAATTAGACATTAGTGATGAATTATTATCCTTTTAGGACCAAATTTTTTTCTCAAAAAAATACCATTTTGAGACCAAATTATTTTGTCCCTAAAAGTCTATTTATTAGTGGCATTTTCAAAATTTTGACGCTAAAAATCTTGTTGTTGACTTTTTGGGATGATCTTTAAGCGACTATCCTCATAACGATAGAAAGTGGTCTCTAAATGTGACCAAAACATTTGATTTCTAAAACTCTTACATGTTATAGTGTATTCTACTTATTAGTTTATTTATTAACATAATATTGATGTAAAGAGTCTTACCACTCATGTATATTTCTAATATTTTGTTGACAACTAGACTGACATTTCAATAAAATAGTAAAAATAAATAATCAATGTAATATTGTTCTTCATATTACAAACTATTAGCATAAAACGTTCATTCCATATGAACTTGCCCAATCTTTTGACACATTCTTTCTCTTATCAGTCAAAATTATAAAGTAGTTGTACTCAAAGTTGTCAAAATCGGGATAGTATGGAATCATTGAGAAGGATTCTAGATTAGATCATTAGATCATAGAACTGACTTTCAATACAAAATAAAATGAAAGATTATCGGTAATGATAATATATGTTACATACTTTTAAAAATGATTAAAGAAAGAATAATAAATTTGATATAATTATATTCTATATTAACATAAATTAGTAGAGACATTTGAAAATAGAGTTTATAGTCAAATTTGGAAAATTATACAATACAAACCTCAAAAAGGGTGTGTACCATATATCTTAGTTATGACATTTATGATATTTGGTTATAACATAAGATAGAGGGCCCCTGTTGTGCCCCCCCTCCCTGCTCTTCCTGCTGTGCCGTAAAACGGCATAGTTTCACCATTTTTTTTTTCTCATGTTGTCACTATGTTTTTTTAAACTCTAAAATATTATAAAAAAAAATTAAGAATTAAACCTAAACTCTAAACCCTAAACCCTAAAATAAAAAAAATAAATTTTAAAAATTAAACCCTAAATCCTAAACTCTAAAATAAAAAAATAAATAAATTTTAAGAATTAAACCCTAAACCCTAAAATAAAAAAAAAATTTAAAAATTAAACCAAAACTCTAAAATAAAAAAAAAATAAAAAAATTAAACCTAAACCCTAAACCCTAAACCCTAAAATAAAAAATAAATAAATTTTAACAATTAAACCCTAAATCCTAAACTAAAATAAGAAAAAAAAAATTAAAAAATTAAACCCTAACCCCTAAACCCTAAAATTAAAAATATAAAAAATTAAGAATTAAACCCTAAACCCTAAAATAAAAATAAAAATTATCCCTAAACCCTAAAATAAAAATTTAAATTTTAAAAATTAAATCCTAAACCCTAAAATAAAAAACATAAATTTTAAGAAAAAAAAAAATCAAACTGTGCCGTTTCACGACATAGCAGCAACACAGCAGGGAGGGGGCACGACAATGACCCCGCTCCCTATAACATATTGTAGTGTTAGTTATCACTTAGTTATGACTTTGTTATCGTGTTAGTTATGATTACTGTGATGTTGGTTATAACCATTATTTTGCTTAGAATACCTTATGTGATATTTAGTTATGAATTTTTTCTCCTTATTTATGACTAATAATAAATGTCATAATTTGCATACGACTCTAATTTTTTATATATAAATATACACATACATGCATATATATATATATATAATAAAAAAAAAATTGTATGATCAGGATTGTATACAATTCTATATAATTTTATGACTAGAATCGTAGTTATTTTTAACATCTTACTAAATTTAAAATCTTGGTATGATTCGAATCATTTGGTGCAACTGCGATCATAGAATTGTAAAATTATATAATCCAAAATGAGATTTTGATTACTATAATTATATTATATGCACGGAAAAATAAAAATCAAATATAAAATATATAGATATGAGACAAAAATATTCATATCTATACATTCTATATTTAATTATTTCTGTACAAACTTGTTCATTATAAAGTGGCGAACAAGTAAAATCTATAACATATATAAAAAGCGCGTAAGAGTGGTGTAACATGATGTAACGCTGGGCTTGGGCTGCAAGGTGTGGATTCAAAGCAACAATTATACTTGAGGTAGATGGTCTATTATATATTATCTATTGTCAGTGTTGGCTGCATGTGGCCGGAATTATGCACACTGTTCAATACACACTGCTGGAAATTTTACAAACGCCGCTATAAGTGTGAAAAACACCTCTTATTCTTTTTGCGACGTTTAGTATCAAACGTCGAAGACGCGGCCGTCGGTATAGTATTGTGGTGCTTTAAAAACGTCGTTACATTAAATGCCGCTAAATGTGGTACATAACGGTAAAATGACATCATCTAGTATTTAGTGACGTTTTAAAAATGTCGTGATAGATTTTTTCCTAATTTAAAAATGTGACCATTAACACTGTAGTGGCATTTTGGAAAATCGTCGTTCATAGCTTCTTTTTTTTTTTTTTTTTGAGATTATGCTAATTCTGTTGGATTTAACTAAAAAACATAATTGTAATAAAGCTGAAAATTAGTAATAATATAGATAAAACTTTACTGCTATTTCAATATATTGACTAAAAACATTATATGATTATTTCTAAACTAAAATCAACAACCACAACAAAAAATAAAAGTAAACAATATATTGAACTCCAGATCAAGAGCGATCAAACTCGAGTTTGAAGTTCTCTCTGAACAGCAACACTAACTCTTCAAGCAATTCAAAACACTTGAAGGTCAGCTCTACCCTTAGTATCTATGTACATCCACTCAAGCTATAGAAATCAGAATTTAATACATGAACCTTGCTATTCTCCAAAACAAATTTGGATTTTGTTTGTGTCACCAAATCAAGCTTAGCTTTAGCAGAGTGTAACTTAGTCACTAGGTTCTTCACTGCATCATCCTGAAATTCCAAAGAGAAATGAAACACTGAAACTCCATAATAGCTAGAAGGATCATGAAATGATAGTCATTGAGTACAAAAGTAAACAATAATAGCCAAAATGAAAATAAAACAACACAATTCATCAAGCATTCGCATTCAATTTTCTGACAAGTCAGTTTAGGGGGGAGTTATTCAACAACCTATTTTGCAATTAGGCAAGGAAATAAGGTGTTAAATGGTGGGAGTGAAAGCACAAGAAGTTCACATGACTTGTGAGCATAAATATTATATTCGGCATGATAGAATGTGATTGCCAACCAGAGAAATGTGGTGTACAAAACAGCTACAGAAGGTAATTCACTACAGAGGTTAGAGTTTTTTTTTTTTTTTTTTA